GGAGAATCCACGGGAGCAGAGAGTGAGGTCCTCAGGGTCCTCAGGCCACACAGGGAGTGGTGGTTCCCCTGCTGGGAGGACATTTGGTAGAGGCTGTGCAGCCTCCCCACAGGCGGAGGTCCCAGCGGACCCTGGAGAAGAACCACATTTGCTGGTGCCGGAACAAGGTCGTTAATGGTGCCAGATGTGTGCTGTGATTTTCCATAATCCCGAAATACTGCTGCTACACAATCTTGTGAACTTTTTCTGGGGTGAGCTGCCACTTGGCCACAGTCTCTGGGAATTGGCAGCTGCATGGTCTTGTGAACGTTCCTGGTGCTACCAGCACCTGGCCTTTGCTAGGTGAGACTCTCCTCCGAAGGGTCAGAACGAGTCAAAGCCGCAGTCTCTCAGAAGTGAGGTGTTGGGAAACAGCTGCAACTGAGATAAAACTCAGGAGGGGGTGCCGCCTGGCAGCCTGACAGTTTGGTCACGGACAGTGTAGAAGCAGGAAGTGGATGAAGCTGGAGACAAAGGAGGGGTGCTTGATTGCTGGTTGTGGAGAGCAGAGTTCTGATACTAGAGACTGGGTAGCTGGGTGACGCCATTTTCAACCCTCCCACGCATGCCCATACACACCTAGCCAGGCCACAGCTATCCACCCCAATAAGCTAAGCAGCGCCATCTATTGGATAATGGAGCCATTACACTAAGCCCTGCCCAATTGAGCCAACTTCTCTCTTGAGGAAAACCACAAGTCTCTCCACCTGCTCAGTTTACAGACTATAAAGTGCTTCACAGATTGACCTCTAGAGGAAAGCGGATACAATTTCAATCCTATTTGATTGTATTCTCCGGTCCAGCTATTCAATGTTTTTTTCTTTTCTTTTCTTTTCTTTTCTTATTCTAGAGTACAGAAAGAGAAAAATTTGTTTTTTTCCATTTTTATTAAAAAGATTTTAATTTTTCTACTATATATTTCACTTTTTAGTAAATTTTTATATTCTATTTCCATCATTTCATTTTATTCTATTTTATTATATCCATTTTTTCAAATTTTCACACATTTTCCTTTTTTTCTTTTCTTATCTTTCTCTTTTTTCTCTAATCTATCAAGTCTTTTTTCAACAACCAGACCAAAACACACCTAGGATCTAGCATCATTTATTTTATTTTTTGTGTTGTTTTTAATTTTTTAATTTTAATTTTTTAAATTTATTTATTTCTTTTCTTCATTCAATATGATGAAATGAAGGAACTAACACCAAAAGAAAGAACAGGAAGAAATGACAGCCAGGGACTTAACACAGATACAAGGGAGATGTCTGAACTAGAATTAGAATCATGATAACAAGAATCCTAGCTGGCGTTGAAAATAGATTAGAATCTCTTTCTATGGAAATAAAAGAAGTGAGAACTAGTCAGGTTGAAATAAAAAAATGCTATACCTGAGCTGCAATCTCAAATCAGTGATATAGAGGACACACTTATTAAGAACAATGAAGCAGAAAAAGAGAGTGAAACTAAGGCAAAAGAGCACAATATAAGAATTAGAGAACTCAGTGACTAATTAAAAAGGAAAATCAGAATCATAGGGGTCCTAGCAGATGAAGAGAGAGTAAAAGGGGTAGAAGGTTTATGAGACCAAATCATAGGGGAAAACTTTCCTAACCTGGGGAAAGACACAGACATCAAAATACAGGAAGCACAGAGGACTCCCATTAGATTCAACAAAAAACAATCATCAACAGGGCATATCATAGTCAAATTCACAAAATATTCAAGCAAGGAAAGAATCATGAAGGCAGCAAGGGAAAAAAAAGTCCTTAGCCTACAAGGCAAGACAGATCAGGTTCTCAGCAGACCTACCCACAGAAACTTGGTAGGCCAGAAATTTCGGAGTGGCAGGATATATTCAATGTGCAGAATTGGAAAAATATGCATCCAGGAATTATTTATCTAGCAAGGCTGTCATTCAGAACAGAAGAGGAGATAAAAAGATTCCCAGACAAACAAAAATTAAAGGAGTTCGAGATGATGAAACCAGCCTTGCAAGTAAATTTAAGGGGGACTCTCTGAGGGGAGAAAAGACAAAAAAGAAAAAAAATGACCAAAAGCAGCAAAGACTAGAAAGGACCAGAGAACACCACCAGAAATTCCAACTCCAACTCTACAGGCAACATAATGGCAATAAAATAATATCTTTCAGTACTCACTCAAAACATCAATGGACTAAATGCTCTAATAAAAAGACACAGGGTAACAGAATAGATAAGAAAACAAGATCCATCTAAATGCTGTTTACAAGAGACCCATTTTAGACCTAAAGACACCTTCAGGTTGAAAATGAGGGGAGGGAGAACCATCTATCACGCTAATGGTTGCCAAAAGAGAGCCAGAGTAGCCATACTTATACTAGACAATCTAGATTTATAAGATTCCACCAAAAACTTCTAGAACTGATCCATGAATTCATCAAAGTCACAGGATATAAAATCAATTCATAGAAATCAGTTGGATTCCTATACACCAATAATGAAGCAACAGAAAGAGAAATCAAGAATCGATCCCATTTACAATTGCACCAAAAACCATAAAATACCTAGGAATAAACATAACCAAAGAGACAAAACATCTGTACAGTGAAAACTATAGAAAGCTTACAAAAGAAATTGAAGAAGACACAAAAAAATAGAAAAATATTCCATGCTCCTGGATTGGAAGAACAAATATTGTTAAAATGTTGATACTACCCAAAGCAATCTACATATTCAATGCAATATCTATCAAAATAACAACAGCATTCTTCACAGAGCTAGAACAGACAAACATAAAATTTGTATGGAACCAGAAAAGACCCCAAATAGACAAAGCAATCTTGAAAAAGAACACCAAAGCTGAAGGCATCACAATCCCAGCCTTGAAGATGTATTACAAGGCTGTAGTCGTCAAGACATTATGGTACTCACACAAAAACAGACACTCAGATAAGTAGAACAGAATAGAAAATCCAGAAATGGACCCACAAATCTATGTCCAACTGATCTTTGACAAAGCAAGAAAGAAAGTCCAATGGAATAAAAACAGTCTCTTCAGCAAATGGTGCTGAGAAAACGGGACAGCAACATACAGAATAATGAACCTGGACCACTTTCTTATACTATACATAAAAGTAAACTCAAAATGGATGAAAGACCTAAACATAAGACAGAAGCCATCAAAATCCTAGAAGAGAAAGCAGGCAAAAACCTCTTTGACCTTGCCTGCAGCAACCTCTTACTCAACACATCTCTGGAGGCAGGGGAAACAAAAACAAAAATGAACTATTGGGACCTCATCAAAATAAAAAGCTTCTGCACAGCAAAGTAAACAATCAGCAAAACTAAAAGGCAACTGATGGAATGGGAGAAGATATTTGCAAATGACATATCAGATAAAGGATTAGTATCCAAAATCTATAAAGAACTTATCAAACTCACACCCAAAAAACAAATAATCCAGTGAAGAAATGGGCAAAAGACATGAATAGACACTTCTCCAAAGAAGACATCCAGATGGCCAACCAACACATGAAAAAATGCTCAACATCACTCATCATCAGGGAAATAGAAATCAAAACCACAATGAAATACCACGTCACACCCATCAGAATTGGCTAACATTAACAACTCAGGCAACAACAGATGTTGATGAGAATGCAGAGAAAGAGGATCTCTTTTCCACTGTTGGTGGGAATGCAAACTTGTGTAGCCACTCTGGAAAACAGTATGGAGGTTCTCAGAAAATTAAAAATAGAACTACCTTATGACCCAGCAATTGCACCACTAGGTATTTATCCAAGGGACACAGGTGTACTGTTCTGAAGGGGCACATGCATCCCAATGTTTATAGCAGCACTATTGACAATAGCCAAAGTATGGAAAGAGCCCAAATGTCCATCGACGAATGAATGGATCAAGAAGATGTACACAATGGAGTATTACTTGGCAATCAAAAAGAATGAAAGCTTGTCATTTGCAGCCACATGGATAGAACTAGAGGGTATTATGCTAAGCGAAATTAGTCAGTCAGAAAAAGACAAATATCATATGACTTCACTCATATAAGGACTTTAAGATGCAAAACAGATGAACATAAGGGAAGGGAAGTGAAAATAATATAAAAACAGGGAGGGGACAAAACATAAGAGACTCTTAAATATAGAGAACAAACAAAAGGTTGCTGGAGGGGTTTGGGGGGCATTAAATGGGTAAAGAGCATTAAGGAATCTACTCCTGAAATCATTGTTGCACTATATGCTGGCTAACTTGAATGTAAATTTGAAAATTAATTAATTAATTAAAACAAAACAAATAATAGTTCGCATACACCTGGTATTTACTATGTGCCAAGAACTAAGGGCAGTGCATGGATTAGTTTATTTACTTTTCACAACAAGCTTATCAGGTCATTGCCATTGATTATTATCATCACCTTTTATAGTTGAGAAGTCTGAGGCACAGAGATTAAGTAACTTAGCCAAGGAGACACAGCCAGCTAGTGATAATGCTAGAATTTAACCCAGATAGTCTGGCTCTGTAACTGACTGGTATGCAATAATGGACTGTCTGAGTAGAAGTGATATATGATAAACCTAAGGAAACTTTTCTAGTAATCCTCCGTGCACTTTTTTCTTCCCTAGTCTGTCTCTGAATGATGAAGATCCAAGAACGGAATGCACAACCCCAAGATGCATTAAGCTGTCAAATGGGTGAGATTTTGAGGTTGAGAGATGCTTAAAAAAAAAAAAAAGACTTTAGCCTCACAGCATAAAACAGTTTGTTTAGGACTCATTTATAGGAGAACCTTAGATTTGAAATTATAAGCCTGCTTGGTGGAGGTAAATGGTATTAACAAGAAAACTATCTGGATGGCCATGCTGTTAGTTTCTTTTTTTTTTAAGTAGACACCCATTTCCAGAAATTCTTAGTCCCATTGTCATTGTGTCATAAGAATAGACCAGGTTCCCAAAGTAGACCTACCTCAAGGTCATTTTAGACAAATTCCTTCAAGCACACAGATGCCACTGAATACTGGCAGCCTCCTCCTTTCAGAGACATGAAGGAGTGGTCCAGAGGCAACTAGAGAGGGAGAGCTGGGGCAGCTGCAGGTTGAACTGTCTGCACACACTGGATCCGTTTAGAACCATATATGCAGTGAACTGCAAATAAGAAAGAGCAAATTCAGGGGAAACGAAGATTAGACTGTTAGTTGGTATGTTTGAATGTAACTTTTATTTTTAGAGAGAGGGAGTATGCATTCACAGGAGGGGGAGGGGGAAAAGGAAGGAGAGAGAGAGAGGGAAATGGGGGGAGAGATAGAGACAGAGGGGCAGCGAATCTTAAGCAGGCTCCATGATCAGCCTGACTGAGGCTCTATCCCATGACCCTGGAATCATGACATGAGCCAAAATCAAGGGTTGGATGCTCAACTGACCAAGCCAACCAGGCGCCCCTTGGATGTAACTTTTTTTTTTTAATGTTTTATTTATTTCTGAGAGAGAGAAAGAGAGGCAGCATGAGCAGGGGAGGGTCAGAGAGAGAGGGAGACACAGAATTGGAAGCAGGCTCCAGGCTCCAAGCAAGCTATCAGCACAGAGCCCGAAGGGGGGCTTGAATCCGGAACTGTGAGATTATGACCTGAGCCGAAGCTGGACGCTTAACTGACTGAGCCACCCAGGTGCCCCTGGATGTAGCTTTTAACAAGGTCTTTTGGGATTTTTTTTTGCTATACATACTATATTTTTATAAATTTGTTTTAATTTCATTAAAATTTCTTATATATTTACACACTTATGCAGTTTTATATAAATGCTTAAATGTGATCCTTGCATATCCTATCATTTTTTTGCTTTGTTTTCTTTTCTGAGTGCCAGAATTTTTATTTCCCTCTCTATTCCCATTATTACTCCTACCCTACCCAGATTGTCACTGTTCCCTTGTTCTCTTTGCTTTAAAAATAATATGTGGGGCACCTGGGTGGCTCAGTTGGTTAAGCATCTGATTTCAGCTCAGGTCATGATCTCGTGGTCTATGAGTTTAAGCCTCTCGTGGGGCTCTGTGCTGACTGACACCTCGGAGCCTGGAGCCTGCTTCAGATTCTGTGTCTACCTCTCTCCTTGCCCCTCCTGCACTTTCTTTCTGTTTCTCTCTCTCTCTCTCTCAAAAATTAACATTAAAAAATAATTATATGCAAATCCACACACTGAAATACATACATGAATATATTTACATGCACACAATGATAAATATACATATAACTTCTATATAAATATATATATAAAATGTATACCTAGTGAAATATATGTACGTATATCTACATCCACAAATCTGTGCATATATATACGTCTATAAACATATACATATATCTTGTGTTCTCAGTAAAGTTCTTTCTGTTTGTTCCACCGTTTCAGTTGTAGAACTGAAGAGGGGCCTCCAGAACTCCTTCTCCTGGCACGATACACCCCCTGCATCCTTCCCTTCGAAGTCTGCCTCTTAGGTTACCAGGGTAATGCCATCACTCTCTTATCCCTGTGCAACGGGTAGCCACAAGCAGCCCAAGGATCCCGGGCTTATTATCATCAGTCTGGCAGCTACACTTGATTTCTTCCATTCTGTACAATTCTGTCTCCCTGCTTCCCCTGTGCTCTCTGGAGCTTACAGTCTGTCCTCAACAAAATCCACCATCTTCCCATTCTCTTCTGTGAATGTTTCCTTCATCTGTATTTTGGTTTTCTGCACCTGTTATAAATTACTGCAAAGCTGTAGTAATTTGCTATCTGAATTCTCAAGTCCAGAAGTCCAAAATCAGTATCACTGGGCTGAAATTAAAGTGCTCGTGGGGCTGTGTTCCCTCCAGAGGCTTTAGGGAAGAACGCACTCCTTGCCTCTTAAAGCTTCTGGTGACTGCTGGCATTGCTTGGCTTGTCACGTCACTCCAAACATCCAGGGAAGCTATTTTCAAATCTCTCTCTGATCCATCTTCATGTCACTATCTCTGAGTATCTTTTCTTCTGTGTTGCCTCTCTTATAAGGACACACGTGATTGACTGCATTCAGGACCCACCTGGATAATCTGGGATACTCTCCCTATCTTAAAAATCCTTAACTTAATTACATTTGCAAAGACTCTTTTCCCAAATAAAGTAACAATTACAGGTTCCAGGGATTATGAATTGGTACCTCTGGAGGCCATTATTCAGGCAACGACAATCTGCTTTCTCTATCTCAAGCCCAATTCTTCCCCAAGAATCTGCTTCTTCTTCAGGACCCTCCAAGGGCAGCAAGTTTTTTGTTTTTATGTTTGCTTGTATTGTTTTTAAAGTCTCACAGCCCAGAAGTGAGGTAAGTGTGCTCCTTAATCCTCATCAACCACACTCTCTTCCTCTCCTTCCAAAACATACCAACTTCAGGGACACCTGGGTAGCTCAATTGGTTGAGTGTCAGCCTTTGGCTCAGGTCATGATGTCATGGTTCGGTTCGTAAGTTTGATTCCCACATCAGGCTTGCTGCTGGGCAGCATGGGGCCTGCTTCAGGTCCTCTGTCCCCCTGTCTCTCTGCCCCTCCCCTGTTTACACGCTCTAGCTCCCTTAGAAAAACAAAACAAAACAACATTCAAAAATTTTAAAATATCATGCCAACTTCAGAGCTCATGCTACCAAATTATACCATCCATCCCCCCAATTAGGCGTCATCCACAGACCCTCAAGCTACTCCTGAAGATTTTTATATTGCTTGTTCTGACTCCTCCTAACACTACTCCTATTGTAATTCTTGGTTAATTCAATATCCATGCCTGCGTTTTTTCAAATACTCTTGATTTCTTAGTCTCTTAACCTTCCCTCTCCTAGTAGCTTATAGCTTCACCCCAACTTAGCTTTTCAGTTCCATGATTATATACTAGGTCTTGTCAATACTAATACTAATAATACACTAACTGATAACTAACATTAACAAAAAACTGTATCCCCTTCCCAGTCTCAAATTTTAAGCACTCTACTTGTTGACCTATCTTTTTGGCTAATTCCCTCGAATACCCCAACTCCAAAAAATTCTGAGACTATAATCTCTTGACCCTGTCACTGTACATTATCCTTTACCCTTTAACCTTTGTGTCACCCTACCCTGTCTATGTTCAACTCTCTACCTAGTCCAGATGTGTACCTTGGCAGCTGAGCGTGGCTGGAGAAAATCCTCAGCTGACTGTGCCCACGTTAAATATATCACCTCAGGGGTGCCTTAACAAAGTTGGACACTTAACTCAGTCGACTTTGGCTCAGGTCATGATCTCGCAGTTCATGAGTTCAAGCCCCACATCAGGCTCTGTACTTGACAGCTCAGAGCCTGAGGCCTGCTTCAGATTCTGTGTTTCCCTCTCTCTCTGCCCCTCCCCCACTTGCACTCTGTCTCTCTAAAAAATAAACGTTTAAAAATTAAAAAAAAAATTAATGTATCACCTCAAGAAAAGCATTGGTACTGATGGAAAATCCCACTGCATTTCTATAGTTCTTTCCCTTGCCACTCCTCCAGATGATTACGCATATTTTTTTCCTCTTCAAACTTCCAAGATTTCCTTTTATCTTCACCTTCAGCTGACAACCTTGCTTCTGTACTTCACTATGAAAATATAAGAAATTAGAGAACATCTTCCACACACTCTCATCTGCCAACACCCGGGATCTGTACCACATGCTCTGCCTTCCTTTTTGTCTATAATACAGGAACCATTATCACCTCCTCAGACCATTCCCTCAATCTGCATACTAACGTCCATTTCCACTTAGTTGCCTTGAAACATCACTTTAGTCATTGCCTCCTCTCTCTTCCATCATGAATTTGTCCCTAGTGGATGCCTTTTGTTAGCGTACAACCGATCTGAAATATCCACCATCTTAAAAATCAAAACAAAACAAAGCATCTCCTTCAGCTACTGCTACATTATTATGTTGCTCTGTCTCCTTTATTTATTTTCTGTTTTTTTATTTAAGAGAAAGAGAGGGAAAGAGAAAGAGAAAGAGGGATAGAGAGACAGAGACAGAGAGAGAGTGAGCCCACCCACGAATGGAGGAGAGGCAGAGGGAAAGAGAATCCTAAGCAGACTCCATGCTCAGTTCTCAGTACAGAGCCTGATACAGGGCTTGAACTCATGACTAGATCAACTCTGGGGTGGTGACCTGAGCTGAAATCAAGAGTTAGAGGCTCAACCAACTGAGCCACCCAGGTGCTCCTACTCTTTCTCCTTTAAATCAAAGCTCTCTTGCAAGATTTGACTGTCGTTGTCCTTTATTTCTCTTGGTCTCCCATTCTGTCTTGAACCCTCTCCAATCTGACATCCATTCCAGCAGCACGCACGTGCACACACATGCACACATGCATGCATACACAGACACACACACACACCAATCTTGAAAACAGAAATGCATAAATGTTACTAAAATGAATTTCCTCATCCAATCCTGTCTAGCAGCAACTCTGACCACTTCTCTTTCTGAATGAACTTCTTTATCTGGCTTCCTGGAATCTGGTCTTGTTTGTCTTTCCACTTCACTTACTGATCATTTTTTCTCAGGCACTTTTGCTGGCTGCTCCCCAATCTCCAAACTTTGGCCCTTGACTTTTTGGTCATATTCTATGCCCAGTGCATAGAATCACATAGAATGAACAAATATATAGGATATTTTTTAGCTTTATTCTAAGAAAATAGGGTCATATCTTTCACAGTTTTCTATATATTGCTATTTTAATGCAACAACACTTCATGGAAATCCCTTTGGGTCCATTGGTGTAGCTGTTTCATTCTTCTTAAGGTCTGTGTTATATACTATGGAGTGGATATGCAAACATTTGTTAAAACATTTCCATCTTATGGGCAAGTCTCTGTATGCAGTTCTTTTATTGCGGATGAGTAATGTGGGAATTAATACCCTTCCACTTCTATTCCAGTTTCCCAGGAGCGGGATTGCTGGAATCAAGGAAGCATGTACATTAAATGATAACTATTTTAGAACTGCTTCTCATGAAGCCTGTTTTAATTGACGTTTTTGCCAACATTGCTCTCTATTGCTCTATTTGAGAGGTATTTTCTTTCTTTCAAATGTTAGCTAGACTGGTATGCGGTGACTGGTCCTTTAACTTGTATTTTCCTGACTAATATATTTAAGCAGCATGGCTTAGAGGTTAGAAACACTGGTTTGGTTGCCAGACTTTCTGGATTTTAATTCTGATTCCAACACTTACTAGCTGTGTGACCTTGGGCAATTCTCTTAACCTCTCTGTGCCTCAAGTTCTTCATATGTCAGAAGGAGATAATAGGAACTACTACTTCATCTGTTTTATTTTTTTGGAGATTAAATGTGTTAACGTAAGCCAGAGCAGTAACTGGTACAAAGTAAACTGTCAATAGATATTGCTTATCATTATTACTCCTATTATTACTACTAATGTTATGACATCTTATGTTTCTATTGCAAATCTGTGAATTAAATCTTATTTTCTCTGCCCATTTTTTGATTGGGTTACTCATCCGCATCACACCAAGTTGTAAATAACCTGTGTGTGCTGTAAATATGAACACTCTGTTAGTTACGACAGGCCATGTTACATCATGTTAAAACATCTCAATGGCTCAGCACAGTACAAGTTTATTTCTCAACTTGCCAAAGTTTCTTATAGGTCAAGAAGTCCTCCTTCAGCTTGTAGATATTATATCCAGGAAATGTTGCCTCCAAAATCATTATAGCAGGAAAAGAGAGATCTGGAATGTTGTGGCAGGCACCTCTTGGTTTTCGTGCACTTATGTAATCCTCTCCTCGGGACGGGCTGGATTTAGTGGCTTGCATGTAGCAAACAGAGTGTGTTAGAGATGACGGAAGGTCATATTTCAGATTAGGCTGCAAAAAGACCATGGCTTCTCAATTGTGCCTTCCTTGTGTTCATTCTGAGAGAAGCCAGCCGCCCCACTTGACAAGGAACTGAAAGAGGACTTTAGCCAATAGTCAGCAAAGAACTGACATCCTCAGTCCAATAGCCTCTGAAGAACTGAATTCTGACGACTACATGAATGAGTTTACAAGGGGATCTTTTCCTAACCGAGACTTCAGAGATGAAAGCACTGGTCAACAGTTTGGTCACAGCCTCTGAGAGATCTTGAACCAGAGGGCCTAGCTAAACCTCATCCAGATTCTGGATTCACTACAGCTGTGTGGTAATAAATGCTTGTTGTTTTATGCCTCTGAGTTTTAGGGTAATTTGTTATACAGCAACAAATAACTAATACAAGGATAGAAGAGGATATTTTCAAGGCCGGCAAGTAGCTTCTGTCCTATATCTACCCATCCCATTGGCCAGAATTTAGTCTCATGGCCCCAATTGTATTTAGGAAGAGAAACTGGAATGCTGAACACATGAAGTTTTCTGTGCTATGACTTCTTCCTATGCCTTTGCAAATATTTTTCTATATCTATTTTTTTTGTATCTTATCTCGTTTATGTTACCTTCTGTTATACAATATACTTTTTTCATTTCTTTTCACAGATAGATATCCACATCTTGTATTTTCTAGCTTTTTGTTTTCCAGAATTGATTAAGAAGTTGTCCATTAGCACTTGATTGGGTATGAATTCTAGTTCATTTTCTTGCAAGATTCCTATTATTTTATTTTTTAGTAAGTTTTTAATTCATATGAAATTTACTTTTGCATTTGGAACATAATTTACTTTTCTTTCATATAGATAATGATAATATCATACCTGTTTTTAAATTTTTAAAAAACTTTTTAAAATTTATTTTTGAGAGAGAGATAGAGACAGTGTGAGCAGGGCAGGGTCAGAGAGAGAGGGAGTCACAGAATCTGAAGACAGGCTCCAGGCTCTGAGCTGGCTGTCAGCATAGAGCCTGACGCGGGGCTCGAACCCACGAACTGTGAGATCATGACCTGAGCCGAAGTCGGACACTCAACCGACTGAGCCACCCACGCACCTCTAATATCATTTCTTAATAATCCCCTCCACACACACTAAATTGAACTGCCAACTTAGTTACATGTATCAATTTAGTCATCATATAGACTGGGATCTAATTCTAGATTCCCTTTTCTGATCTGCTAATCTAGTGTCTATCACTGTACCAATACAATATTGATTCTATTACAATGGCTTCTTACAATTTTATGGTATCTGTTAGGCAGGACCTGAACCCCATTGCTCTCATTCTTTTTTTGACTACTTTTTGGCAACTATTCTTCAATATAAATTTAATATCTTTTTATCTAGTATCCCACATGCACCATGAATAACAACAAAAATATCTCCTGGGGATTCTAACTGGAATTATATTATAGTTCAACATTAATTTGAAGATAATATTTATATGATACATTGTTTATGTTTATTCTTCTTTCTCAAAAAAGAAATCTTTTCATTTCCCTACATATTTATTATATAAATATAAATATTTGAAAGTATCATTTATATATTTAATATTATTAACTGAACCAAGCTGAAAACCATTATAGTATCCATCAGGTTTTGGTCCTTCTGTATTGTTTCTTGTTCTGCCTTTTGTAACATATAAATTTTTATCTTTTTCCCCATAGTGTTTCTTACTTTATTGCAGGGAAATCACACACCTTTCCTCTGCCTTACTTTACTCATCTCTAGTTTATAGAAACAATACCATTACTATGTGTACTCTGTACTTATTGTACACTGAGAGGCATGGAGTCTGTTGGTCATAGACACTGTAGTGTATTGACTAAGACTATCTGGGTTTAAAGCTCAGTTCTAACACTTTCTGGCTTTGTAATTTGGGGCAAATTATTTAATTCCCTTGTACTGTATTTCCTCAACTTTAAAATAGAAATGATAATATTTCTTATCTCACTGGTTGGTTGTGAAGATTAAATGAATTAGGGCATAAAAATGCCTAGCACAGAGTGTGAATTGAGTAGGATTTATCTGTGTTCTTAATAGTACTGGTAAAAAATTGTTAAAATTTAATTCTCATTTATATCTGCTTCAGATATAATTGTCTTGTATAAAGGAAGAAAAAGTAAAGAAATCAATTTTCCTTTACATTTAATAAAGTAAAATATTTCTTATATCCAAAGGGATTTATAAATATGAATAGTTTTGATTATTTGCTTTTGGTAGTAAAAAAATACTGTATTATTTTACCATTGTTTTCTTAGCAATTCTGATAGTGCTCAATGCAAATGTATTTCTGTTTCCTAGTGAAATTTTAATGATTCCTTCAAGGAACTGTTGAAACTATTCTTCAATATAAGATTGAAGAATCTTATATTCTTATATATATTTTCTGTTTTTAGAAAAAATGAAGTTATCTGCCTTCTTGCTAATTTTTTAATACTATCAGTGAGGAAAAGACATGCAAGTCTTGCCTTAAACTGTGAGTATTCCTGGATGGTGTGTTAATTAGCTTTATGTGCCTGACCTATTGTGGCAGTACCAAGAATTGTGTATCATTATTCATCCCAGGGACACAACCCCAAATTACAGGGAAGGTCAAGTGTATCTGAAGAAAGGGAAATTATAAAAACATCTTTAATTTTTTTTTCTCCGTCATTCTCTTGTTTGTTGTTATGGTTCAGTACGATATTG